GAGAGAATTACTATGGCAAGTTATAATCGGAAAATGGTTTTTGATGGTGTAAAGTAAATTTTTGCTTCTGGTATCTTAGATTGTTTTACAATCGTAGAGGATTGTAAAACAATCTAAATGCTTCTCTCTCTCTCTCTCTCTCTCTCTCTCTCTATATATATATATATATATATATATATATATATATATATATATATATATATATATATATATTTATATTTATATTTATATATATATATATATATACATACACATTATGTTACAAAAAAAGAAAAATTTATGAAATAAAAGCTAATAAAAAATTAACTTAACCCTTTCGTGACGCATGACCTGTATGGCGGTTCATAAAATTTGTATCTAAATGGCAAGTGACCCGCATGACAGTGCATAAACAATTTTAAATATTTTAAAATATCTAGAGCAATTGGGAAAAACTTTAAAATTATCTTTGAATTGTGAATAATTTCTTTAGTTAATGCTTCAAACCATTTCTTAATTGCATTTATAGATCGCTCAAAAATCAATTTTGAAAAATGATGAAGAACAGATTATATTATATTGATATAAATGAAATCATTTATATTTTTTTCAATGATAGTGGTGGACATTTTTTTTGTTTGATCAGCACTATAACGGCTTCATTAATTTAATATCAAAAATGATATGTTTACCTATTTCTTTTTTTATTTGTTTAAGTTTACATAAAGAAACTATATATTTTTGTTAATTTTAACATAATATATTTTGATCACGTAACTAAGATAAACAAAATTTTTTTAAAGTTTTTGGATATTCTGAAAGTCAATGCTTAGACAAAAAAAACAAGGTCTTGTTTTTAAAATTCTGACAAGTAGTTTTTATTTTATACTCTTTTAATTGATCATGATTCTAGTTCTTTATTTTACGCGCAGTCATGTAGCTGTTTTTATCTCAGTCGCGAAAGGGTTAAAGCATGCAAAATTAAATTAAAGGATGAGAATTATTCTTTTTGCACCTTGGGGTTTCTTTTTATAATAAAGAATTAGATTCGTTATATTTTAAAGACCTTCTTTTTTTTTCAACTCTCCTCCAGTTACCACATAGCCTACATTGATTAATGTTTAGTTTTTTCAGATTAATTCTGACATTTATATATTATTTGTCATAATTTTATAAAGTTAATTTTCATTTGCTTTTAGCTTTAAATGGGAACAAGTCAGCAAGGCAATCTTTCTAAGATACCCAAACCCCTGGAGTAAACATGTATATAGTGAAGATACAATTAGTAGAACTGTTGAAGGTCCCATACTTAAAACTGTTCGTCTGCTTACTAAAAACACTGCAGTCAAAGCGCCACAATTCATGGGAAGAGTTGAGTCACTTTTTATTTATACTATTTAGTAGAAATACTAGTTTGTGGTTTTCTAATTATATTTGTTTATCGTACATAGTTCGTTCCCACTGGACCAGTTTGTATAGTTGAAGAATCTCACATAGACGCAATGAAAAAAACAATTATTACATATACCAGAAATACTGCATTTAATCATATAGCTAACGTTGTTGAACGCTGCGAGTTTTCCCTTTCAAAAGACAACAAAAATAAGTATTGTGTATTTGTTTGTATTATTTTGAATGATTATTTGCTTATGTTACTAAACAAACTTCTATTCTGCGTAGAACGCTAGTAAAACTTCCTCTAAAAATTTTTTGTGTAGAACGCTAGTAAAACGAGAAGCGTGGGTTATCTCTAATGTATATGGTTTATCGAAAGCTATAGAAATGTTTTTTTTTGATCGTTACAAAAGTCAAGTGAAAAAGGTATTTAAGCAACGCGTATAATTATGCAAATGTGTTTAGTTATGCAACTTATGTGTTTATTTATATATCATTTCTCTTTATTTATATATCTTATTTTTTTATTTATGCATTTTTATCTGTTAATTTATGCATCTTTTATCATGTAAAAGATAGATAAATTAACAGATATATATATATATATATTTATATATATATATATATATATATATATATATATATATATATATATATATATATATATATATATATATATATATATATATATATCTTTTACATAATCAGTTGAACTTGTTTAACTATGTTAACTACTCGTTTAATATTATAATTATGCGACATCTCTGTTATATTAAATCTATATTATATAAGGTTTCCATTTATTTTTTCATTTTATTTATATTTTTATTATTTTATGTTATAGTCTTTAAAGGGGTTGGAGTACATCCTTAACAAGATGTATGTACCAGAAAAGATACTTTCAATGGATTTATCTCACTCGCTGTCTCGAACTGTTCCTTTGGCGCATAGAATTTAGTTTTATAGAGAAATAAATTTTTTACACCTTTGTTTTTTGTTTTTTTAATTTTACTTATATATGGACGCATTTTTACAGGAAAAAATCTAGTTTATATATATATATATATATATATATATATATATATATATATATATATATATATATATATATATATATATATATATATATATATATATATATATATATATATATACATACATACATATATATATATATTAATCAAGAAGTTTGCTGCGTAAATCAACACAATTATGGCATTATAAATAAACATCGAAGTAACGATCAATTTTAAATGTGAATCTTATTCTTATTACAAATTAAAACCAAAAGGTTAAAATTTTAGTTCTTTTATTGTCTATTTGTTAAAGTTTTCTTCAAAATTTGGCAGGCGCCAAATGAATATTTATCTAGTACCCCTTAATATCCCACTTACCCCCAGTGGTGTTTACAAGAGAGCAAGGCTCTCAATCATTAGGCCAATATCAAAGCTTTATTAAACTAACCCAGATCAAGACCTAAGACGCTCAATATACTACATTAAGACAAGACTTTGAGGGTCTATTATTTATATGGTGTACCAGATTAGAAATTTTGAATTCCGGCCGGAACAAAATTTATATTTTTGTAGCTTTTTACCTGAAATATTAACTGCATTAGAAATATACTTCTTAACTTTTTAAAAGTTAAAAAACATTAAAAATGAGACTATTGTCAGAGGCAGGTAACATTTTTGATGAAAAAAAACTTGTTTGTTGCCCAAAACTAGAAAGCAACTCTTTTTGCACCACATTATTCCTAAACTTTTAGAAATCTTTACATAAGTGATTAATGCAAATAAAAGTAGGCAAAAATACAGATATGCAAAATTTTAATATGGTCTAAAATAATTTTATTTTATCTCTTATTGCGCTTTCGTATGGAGACTAGCTTAAAGTGGTGACTATTTAATATTAACAAAGAATGTTTATTGGCTTTAGTGCATACATCGTCTATCTTATAGCCTACTTCTACAAGGAAGAGCTGCTACATTGACTGAGGGTTTGGCATAGGGCAGCAATCTTTTTTCTTTTATTATTTCAATTAAAATTTCTAATGTAAAAAAACTTTCCACTAACGAGAGGGCAACAAACGAAAAAATAAAGTTATTTTAGAGCGCTAAATTATAGCTTTACATAAAATCACATTATATTTGTTAAAAAATTTTTATTTTTTACCTAGATTTATCTATTTCTTCACTACCCTGCAGGACAACGATTTTTTACTTTAATTTATACAGTCTGTGTTAGATGCCTTTAATAAATTATGTAAAAAATAAAGTCCGGCACTCCGGCCTGAAATAATATAATTCCGGCCGGAACCGGAATGACCTAAAAGTCACAAGTCCCGATCGGAACGGTATTCCGGTACATCCCTAAATATTTATGATTTCAAGAAGTTAATATAATATAACCTAATATCAAATGTTGAACTGTATCGACTGTATCAAATTTGAAATCTAAATACTGTATAAGTTTTTAGATTTTAGACCTGATATAAAATATTTTAATTTACTATACCAACAAAATATTTAGAATTAGCCTACATATCATTTTAAAATTAAAGTAATTTTTTAAAAAAATTACATGTCATAATGCAGCGTCAAAAATTTAGTTCTCTGACATATTGTCAGCCGCTTTTTTGTTTTGAATAGATATACTTATTGTATTGCTTTGAAAAAGAATTATGCGTTTTTTAGGCGTTAAAATAATTTTTAAAATAGTGGTTAAATCTATACTTGTATTTCATATAAGAAATTTGTATTACGACCTACTGCAACGGCTTCTTGGCTAGTAGTTTAGCTTATATACAAGAAAACTTTATTATGACCTACTGCATCAGCTTTTTGACTAGAGGTTTCAGGGGCGGATCCAGGATTTTTTGGTGCTTGAGTGAAATAACTTAGGTAATAGCTCAAATAGGTTCTAAACTCCAAACTTTTTTATCCATATATGCATATATACTTTGTATACGCATATATATTATTATATATACATATATACTTTTATATATGCATATATAAAAGTATATATGCATATATGCATATATACTTTTTCATACATATGTCATTTAAGAATGCTTTATGTTGATTAGAGCCTGGGAACAAAAATACCCTAAATAGTAAGTATCACCCGCCAAACTGAAAAACAAAATGACTTTTTTGAAAAAAAAAAGTACTTTTTTAAATAAAATTCAAATGTGTATCTATATTTAAAGTTTGATATCTAGCGTTCAAAAATTATAGCCATTTAAAGTTTAGAGCCTCCTCAAAACGAGGGGGTTGTAAATTTAAACTGCGTATAACTTCTAAACAATATAATATTGAAAAAAAATAAATTAAGAACCTTAACGATATTACCACCTATTTTAAAATATTAGAATTTATATTTAGAAAAACCGATTCCCCTACATTTGGGCAGGTGATCCCCACATTCCCCTATAACTTAAATACCAAAAAATCCTTGATCTACTCCTGGGTTTAGTTTAGCCCAGCATTTATTTTAAATAAATCCATAATTTTTCACACGACGGTTAAATAATATATAGATGAATATAAAGGTATAATACTAGATGCAAAAATGTATAAGTATATATACGCGTATATGTATCCTACTCTTGCAAAAGGAGGCTTTTGTCGTAGTGTAGAAATTATCAAAAGGAGGCTTTTGTCGCAATAGTTAAAAGGGATGAAATCATCAAAAGCATTAACTTAAATTGCCTGGTCATCACGGTTGCTTGACTGGAGTAAACAGATGTTTTTTAGCAGAATAATCCTGTAAGGGAAGTTTTATCTCTGTTTTGTCCTTTCAGAATTTTATCTCTGTTTTGTCTTTTCAGAATTTCAAAAATCAATATCTAGAGAACGCCTAAAAAATGATATTTTTTTACCATTTCATTCAAAAAATGCTATGGCTTAAAATAGACCAAAAAATATTGAAAACAGGTTTCATGTTTTAAGAATTTTTTAGAAAGCAATATCACGGTTTTTGCGCAATAATATAGTTCATACTTTTCAAATTTTGAGATTCGGGAGAGCGCACTTTAAAAAAAAAACAAAAAAACTTGGATATTGGAAAAAAAGGGGTCTTATAATTTACGTTCGCATTGATATTGAGAGGGGGTTACCAAAAACGTACAAATGTGTAAAAGGTGGAGTAAAGGGGAGGGGGTTGTTAAAGATAGCAAGTACGTAAGCGGTTTGACTATCTCTCTTAAAACTTAATTTCTTTTCTTTCAAACAGAGCATCGAATTCCACTAGTTTAAAACAGAGTTGTTAGTCCTTGGCCTTGCCTTAAGGCCAAAAATAAAGGCCCTGGCCTTGGTCTTGAAACTGTTAGCCTTGACCTTGAAAATTTTGGCCTTGGCCTAGATTGTTTTGGCCTTAGCCTCCAAAAAGATATATATATATATATAAAACTTATATTATGTAATATAGACATGTAAAATTAACTAAAGATTTCTTTGTTTTTAATGTCTTAGGGAGGTGTTGATTTTGTAATAAATAATGCGCATGTACGCTAAGGGAAAGGAGGGAGGGGGGTTCGTTGAAGCAACTAGTGCGTACATGGGGAGAGGAGGAAAGGTCTTCAAAATCAGTGGTTTTATTGCGACGTACTTTATGAATGATCCCAAACATGAATAATTTTTTCCTCTAAAAAAGTTCGTCTTGTTTGAGCGCAAATCGTTTGAAAAATGTCAGTTTTAATAAAAAACTCGTCAAATTAACACTTTTTTTTTACTGTAGTATTAAACAATATTTAATTTGCAATGTATTTTCCAAATATGTTTACACATAACATAGACATTAAAGAGATAAAAAATTTTCACAGATTAAGTTATTTAGACCCACGATGTGTTACTTTCTGACATCTTTTAGTTAAGTTGAATTAGACAAAATAAAAACAAAGTGAAATCGCAATATGCAAATATATTATTATGTTATTATATAGTTTGTATATATATATATATATATATATATATATATATATATATATATATATATATATATATATAATATATATATATATATATATATATATATATATATATATATATATATACCATGTACAACGAATATAAAATTGTTCCATCAAGATGGATATTATAATTTTCACAAGTATTCATATTTAATATGATAGTAACATAAATACTGTGAATAACTTTCAAAAACATTTAAAAATTATCAAAAAAGTAATTTTTGATTTAACAACATAATCGCTATATAATCCTGAAAATTAAATATACCTCAAATGCTTAAAAAAATTCTGAAATTTAAGGTTTCTCTGTGTATAAGAGAGGACAAGAACTACTGGTAAAATTACGAGGAGCAATCATACCACTTTGCTGCTTGACATCAAAATCAAGGTGTTCTAAGACCTTAGTCACATGTGATAGTGGTATGTCTCCATCAATAACTGCAAGATATTTATAAAGATATTTGAAAGTTTCAAACTCTATTCTTGCTCTCCCACCCTCCAGATCCTTTGTAATGACTTCACAAATTAACGTTAATGCCTCTGTAATTGATTTAGATACATGACTACATGATAACGCAAGAAATTTCAACCATTCAAACTCCTCTGCAAAACTACCCACTCGCAAAATATTTTTCAGATCTTCATCCGATAAACAAAGTGCATTCCATTTTTCTTCAACCTTTGAAAGTTCAACTATAGGTTTATGTCCTAACTGCCTATGTAGAACAATAATTGCTTCTTTGGTAAGTGTTTTTTCACTAACTTGACCCAGCTGAAAATCAAGTCGTTCTTTAACAGGAGGTCTTTCACCTTTAGAAAGTGCAAGAAAATATGCTGCAGACCACTAAACAGAAAAATCACTAAAGTTAAAACATTGGATAAAAAAGTTACAATACTAGATAAAATAACTAATTAAACATAAAAACAAAAAAATATGATTTTATATAATTTATACCTGTAAAAGATCTTTAGGTTGGGTACGAATAGCAGCTTTTGTAAACTGTTTTAGTATTTCAGGCAATTCTGGTGGAATATTGATTTGTAAGGCACTATACATTGGATCATTATTTGGCATTGTTGTGATCAATATGATATCAGTGTGATTACTATAATTTACAAAATCAGTTATTAAATTTTAGAAATATGCAACAGTATAGAGGTTACATGATTTGAAAGCAAGATGTATAATGACTTTAAAGAATATAATTACTCGGACTCTGAACGGGTATATGTATTTTGTCCAACTTGGCAAATGTCCAAGTTAACCGAATCTTTTCGTATGTATAGAAAATTCAAGGGGAATTCAAAGCTCAAAAAATATTATTATTATTATTATTTTCATAAATATATTTCAGACAACAGGCATATACATTTTAAGTGCCAGGTCCATAGTATAATTTGCTTAAGTGAATGCATGGAATTATTCACTAAGGTATGAACCATCAACTAATTATAAAAAACATGTGTATAGTTTAAAATAATTGTATTAAAAGATGGTTTTGTGCTCTAAAGCATGATATATATATATAAATATATATATATATATATATGTACATATATATATATATATATATATATATATATATATATATATATATATATATATATATATATATATATATATATATATATATATATATATATATATATATATATATATATATATATATATATATATATATATATATATATATATATATATATATATATATAAATGCAAACAAAAAATTTTATAAAAATAATGCAAACAAAATATTTTATAAAAATATGAAACACTACTTTTCTGTTAGCTTTAAGTATGTTATCTAAGAGCAAGTGAAATATAAAAATCTTACATAATTAAATACAATTTTTAACCAAAAGATTATTTTTTATTCAAAACTTTTTGTGAGCAGAATGTAAATAAATGTTTAAAAAAAACATTTTTAATTAGTAAGTAAAAAATTAAAAACTAAAATTTCGGTTTTGCATGAAAGAGAGTTTACATTTATATATATAAAAAAAGATTAAACATAACTAAACAAGTCTAAATAAACTTCTTAACTAACAAATATGTAATAAATAAATAAATAAACTTCTAAAACTAGTATATGTGTAATGATTGAAGCTAACTACAATCAGTCAAAACAAAAAGCTACATTTCTTTTAATTTTTAAATAAAGTTAATAACAAATCAATTTATTAAAATTCAACTGATTGAAAATAAAACTATATTAGCCACCATTTGAAGAAAAATTATAAAGGTCAAAAATCAATTCACACTAGTGAGTAAAAATTGAAAATACGTTCTTAAGTATGCAAACTTTATCAATACGCATTATAAAATATTTAAATTATATTAAAAAAATACATAGCAACCATCACAAAAAACATTTAGTAATAATTTGGGTAGGCAAGACAAATATATTTTTAAATTTGAGATATTTAAATTAATTTAAATCAGGGCCGTCCTGACGAGAGGGGCGTAGAGGTGTTCAGCTTGCTAACGAATTTTATTAGTCGGCATATTGGACACTGGAGTCGGCTAAATTGGATCTATAGTTTAGGCGGTCGGCAAGAGGATCTTTTTTTTTTTTTTTAGATAAGTGAGTCGGCAAAAAATTTTTTTGGCTTTAGTCGACAAAAACAGAAACGTCACCCCCGCTTCCCTATTAAAATCTCTTCGGGACGGCCCTGAATTATATATCATATATATAAAATATATATACTTATATATCTTATATATAAAATATATATAGTACATAAAATATATAAAAATGCAAAATACAAAACGTACATAAAATAAAGTGCATAAAAAAGTGCATAAAATATATAAAAATACGAAATACAAAACAAGAATTTCATCAGTTCGAACAAACTTTAAAAATCAGCGATTTTTTATAAATACATCTGATTAATGTTAAGTTTGATCACTGAATATGTATGTATGTATGTATGTATGTATGTATGTATGTATGTATGTATGTATGTATGTATGTATGTATGTATGTATGTATGTATGTATGTATGTATGTATGTATGTATGTATGTATGTATGTATGTATGTATGTATGTATGTATGTATGTATGTATGTATGTATGTATGTATGTATGTATGTATGTATGTATGTATGTATGTATGTGTATGTTTATGTTTATGTGTATATCTCAATTGAAATATCAAATAATATTCGTTGAATGAATATTACTTGACCATATATTTTGATTTTAAAAAAGTGAAACTTTTCTAAAAATTACAGACAAAAGTCGCATAAGGCAGTCGTTTGGAAGGCTATGTAATTTCGTTGCAAGCACCTTTAAGCGAGTAACTTAAAACTATAACGAAAGAAATGTTTCAGTTTCAACAGCGGTTCTCTGTGACAAGACCTTAAGTTCTTCTTAGAGTGTCCGCGTTCTTTACATTTATATTAACTTTTTCAAGTGTAATTTTTCTCTTTTATATTGGTATCTAAAAAAAAATAAAAAAAGATAAGAGAGAGTTCTAAAATACCGATGTTCACAGAAATAGAAACTAGATGAAAACAACTTTTCAGCAACGGGTGTTATTTATTAAAAAGATAAACAGGTGCAATCGTACAAAAAAATAAAACAAAGGCTCATGCTTCAGCTAGAGCAGAGCCAACTACATTTACAATGCATTTTTGGATCTTGCCATTAAAAGTGAGGACTTCGTTGGAAAAAGCATTTCTAATATGACAACGAAATTCCAAATAAGGACATATAAGGACGAATTAGAAACTTACAGAGGTAAATGAAATCAAAAGAAAGAGTATGAAGAGCACAATAAGCACAAAGAAGTAAAGCAAAACATTTTGTAATGGATTGTATATATGGTTTCCTTTTTAGGTCAGTAGTCAGCGATAATCTATAAAAGTGTAAAGTAAAGAAATCAATCACTGCGATTCATCAAAATTAACAATATTGTTATAAGTATTAGCAGTAAATAACTGAGTTTGATTTGGATTAAAATTTACCAGCGTTTGCAATATCCAAATTTTCTTAGAAAATAGATCAGATACAAGGTCAGCGGCTTCTTTTGAGCAATTTCGTTGCGAATAGTTTGTTTATTTTTATATTACTAATTTATTTGGCAAATTTATTTCTTGATAAATTTAAACATTTAAAGCATTAAGTTTAAAAAAGCTATTAAAAAACAACTTGAATTGGAAGAAGCAAAAAATAAGAAGAGTTTTTATCCCTGCAGCATTCACCTTTTTAGGAATGTGTTATACTTATAAAGTTGTAAATATATGATCAATTTAGCACCACTAAAAGGTTTAGTTTCCAAATTCTATAAACGTTCTGAAGGTAGAATGAAATTAAATAATATCATTTTGTTGTTATGATTATTCACATAGGCATGAAAATACCATTAAGATGAAAAAAAATTTCCTCAGAAAATTTTTGTACAAGGTATATGCATTGACATGATTTTTACAAATTTTGAAAAATAATTTGCAACGCCCAAGAAAGTTAAGAACATTTTAGTGTTTTCATCAAAATTCTTTAAAAAACTATTTTTCAGAGTTGCTTTATTTTGCAAAAAATTAATAATTTAAAGTTTCAAATTTTTTTTTTAAATTTTCATTAATAATATAAAAATCAGACCCATATACAAGGAACAATACAATGTGATCTTAAAAATTAGTAACCCAGAGATAATTTTAAAATAGAAAAACACTAAAAAAGTTCATTGCAAATTTATTTTTTCTATTTTTACCTTAGATTATTTGTCTACATCAGATTTTAAAAGCCATATTAAATTTATATCTTTATATTATTAAACAATGGAACAATGGAATTGGTGTAATTGAAATTCCAAGGGCTTTGTATTTTCTTTCAGAAGAATGTATAGAATTTTTATAAGACGAAATTAGGACATTCCCAAAGCATGTCTGTCTGACTGTATTAAATGTTTTAAATGCAAAAATATGTTTTTCTCCTTCATTTCCAATTTTGGCATTTGCAAAGCAATTCTTCTAGGACCCCAACATTGTTTAGGAGAACTGTTGGTAGTTCCTAAAACCATATGCAATTCCCTGATTGGCAAATTATCAAGAACTTTTGTTTCATCTGGATGATCAAGCAGAGGTGGGGGTTCATGTAACATTTGTAGCTTGCTGCCGATAGCTTTGATTTTTTTGAATGAAAAGTGAGATCTTTTTGATAATTATTTGCATTGGATCTAATCCTTTCGAGTGTCCTTAATTGCCCTGTCATTTCTTGGTTTCTGAAACTGTTGTTGTGGCTTTTCCACTTTGTTCTTCACCATTGGAAACATCAAAGTCCATTATTGTAGAATTGTAGAATAAATCAAGTGTTTTGCCTTGTTGACTTAATTTTCCAACGAAACCTGATTCAATTGATTTGCGACCACTCCAAGTTCTGAAAAAAGTAGCTGCTTTGTGAGTTTGTTTCAAAGAGATACCCAGTTTGAAATCGGCTAGCGAATAGCTTGCTGTAATCGTAAAGATAAAGATTAGATTGCAATCTACTAATTTTCTCAGCAGACACATAATTTAAATGGAATTGTGTTCTTGATTTTTGAGAATTGATACTTTTTGTGACTGTTAAACTCCTCCCTCTTGTTGCTAAAATTGCAACTGAGTCTTCATCTCCAGATGCTTCAAATTTCATTTTGATTTCATTAGTCTACATCTAGCCCATATAGCAGAAGGTAAATGCTCTTCATTAGGATTATAGTTCTCAATGAAGTATTTCTGAGTTCTTGGAAGTATCGAATCTCTTTTAGCTGGCACCATATCTGATTCTTTTTGAAAGCAAACCAGACATACTTTACCCATCACTACGAATATTAATCTTTAAAATAAAGGTCTATCGCCAGTTTTGAACTGTGTTCTTAAAAATTATAATACCATCCCAAAGTATGCATGGAATAATAATAACTTTATTAAAATTTATAATCAAAATCTCTGCGAATTTTTTTTCAAGATTACACTTTTATTGGAGAGGAAATAGAGAAACAATCTCAAACAACATGCAAAAAAATTAAAAAAATGCTGCAATGGAAAACTATTTCCAACAAAAATAAACAAGAATTTACTCTAAATCATGGTGGACACCAGAAATTAAATCAAGCAAAGATATATATACTTTAAAAAAAAAAACAAAAAAAACAATTACAGCAGAT